ATTCAAAGTGCTGTAAAAGCATATCAACAGCAAACCCGTTCAACAGCGCAAATTCAATCCGTTGAAGATATGAGGCGTTTCGTGGATCAATATCCTGAATTCAGAAAATTATCCGGGAATGTCTCCAAACACGTTGCCCTTGTTCACGAAATCAGCAGACTCGTTGAAATGAATGCATTGCTTGATGTGTCCTTGTTAGAACAACAACTTGTTTGTTCAGACAATAGAACAGAGCATCTGAAATCTCTCTTGGATCGTGTTAGAAGTCCGACTATTCCGAAATTTGAGAAACTCCGATTGGTTTTACTTTATGCCCTCCACTACGAAAATGATCCCTATCTTCCAAATTTGAAGGATGAGCTTCGCAAGTCTGGGATCGATGATAGCCAGGTGGAAATTGTTGATGCTCTTTTGAGTCACGCTGGTTCAAGCTCTAGAGGATCAGAATTATTTCAGAAAAAGGATCTTTTACAAATTGCAAGAAATGTTGTTCAGCGAGGATTCAAAAGCGCCCCAAATGCCTACGCACAACATGTTCCGTTTTTAGCAACTCTTGTTGAATCACTGATAAAGGGAAGAGTCAAAGAAACTCAGTACTCATTCATTCCAAACACGACGGCAACGTACCAGGCTATGGGACGGTTTTCCGGGGCATCAAGTTCGACGGATCATCCCTCTGAGATCATTGTTTTTGTGGTTGGTGGTGCAACATTTGAAGAAGCATGCACATTACACCAATTAGCTGCTCAGCATAACATTCGCATCGTTCTTGGAGGAACGACAATTCATAATTCAAAGACATTTTTGGCGGATGTTGCGCAGTTGAACAAGTCGGCTCATCAGCCACGTCGACCTGGACTCACTTCCTGGGATGCGAATGAAGCTCAGCGTTCTGATTCCTGCTCCATTCCAATAGATCTTTCTGGACAAGAAATGGTGCCAATTAATGCTTTTTCGAGCAAACCTGTGTTGAGTACTCGCGAAGCAGAACTAGCACTGAAGCAGGAATTTTTACGACAGAAGTGGTGAACTTTGTAATACATGCTTTTGTTAACAAGCTCAACGCCATCCCTTCTTCATCTTCTTAATTTTTCCCCTCTTCTGAATTTTGTTTAAGAACCCAAAGGAAGGTCACAACCATTTGCGTTGTCTATTTTGTAATGAAATTCTTTTCTATGCATTTTAATGGTGGCATCAGGAAGGCAAATTCTTCGGGGAGGGTTGATGATCGGCCTGTTGCTGAAGGGACCGAAACCCTCAAGCGGTTCAGTGCTTGGCCGCAACTTATCCTCTTCTTTTTTCTGCAGGCAATTATTGTAGGAGGAAGTGACGCTATTACAAAATTCGAGGGGTTCCGGCCAACACCAATATCAACAGCTATTGTGGTCTATGCCATTGCCAATTTGACCTTTTTTATTGTCCCAAAAGCGAATCATTTCTTCGGTCAGGCATTTGCAATGGCGCTACCCGGCTTCACGTTCTCAACGTTCACAGTGGCCAGCCGTTTGCTTCCCGTTGAAGTTTGGAATTTTGGTGCAGACATCCTCGTCGGGTGTGTCGTGCAGATGGGAGGAGCACTGTTCAACGTCACCCTCCTCTCACTCCAGGCCTCCTACTGCCCATCTTACCTGAAAGCATACGTCTTCGGTGCAAGTATTTTGTGTTTGCAACTGTTAGACATTGCCTCTCTCGCCTTGAGAAACGCAACCATTGACAAAGATCCCAATGACATGACGTTAAATGACCCAGTGATTATTTTCTGCATTGCGGGAGTGATGGTTTCAGCCTCGGTAGGCCTGAATCTTTTGCCGTATCTATTTGGTTTCTGTAGGTCTTCAGCCTTTTCTTCACTCTCCATCCAAGTAGAATTGCGCAGGGGAATGGAACCCCAGTCCAATTTATCCTCTATAAAAATACTTCGATGGCTGCAACCATACGGCGGCTGTTCTGGCTTCCTTTCCAATCAAAGGGGCTCCTGTGCTTCATTCCGTTGCTTCTGATGCGAAATAGTATTACTTCGCTCCAAGCAACGTTATTAGCCCAACGAACTCACTCGTTGGATTCTTTCATTTCCTACTTTTCGATCTTGTTTGGGGGACGAATGGCAGGAGTGTTATTGTTCACTCTTGCTGCTGATGGATTGAGTTGCGGTCCACGCAAGACTGAGAAACTACATGAGAATGTTTGTCATCTAGAATGTCCCAATACTGAAGGACGACGTCATCCAATAATGAAATCGTGTCATATGAGGTTCGGGAGACCTTCGACACTCGATCCTCATCATCGAATTTTGCAAGCCTGGTTTGTCGTTTTCGTTTCTTTTCTTTTGTTTGTTTTATGTGGGACGCCAATCCGCCAGTCTTCGAATTTTTCATTTGCAAGTTTTGGTGCGATCGATTCCTTTTTTTTAGGAGGTCTAAGCGCAACCACTGAAATGATTGGTAAGACAACAACAGAAGGCATAGAGGATATACATAACAGATCAACCGCGTTATGCATGTTCATTGTTCTTGTTTTCAGCGTTTTGGTTTACCGCTCAAATTATCGGTCCGAGGTTCACTCTCGGAATTTACTTGTTCACATTTTATAGTTTTCTCGAGTCAATATCAACAGTCACCCAAGTCACAATCTTAAGCTCCCTTTCAAATGCGCTCCAGCAAATCATCGTTCTCATGATTCTCATCGGAGTGGCGCTTCTAATCGCTCTTTTCGGTATTTGCAAATATGCAGCAGCAGAACTCGCTGGTGTTCATGGCTCCAGTCTCTACGATCCCTTCTGTACGCCAAACCCTTTCGAAAATCCAACGTGTGACCGACATCATCCTTCCGACAATAGTCCAACAACCATTAAAGATATTCTCCGATGCTGTTGTCTCTTTCCGTCTTGGTTGGGGTCCCCAAAGGATTACGAGCAGGCCACTCCACGCGATGTCTTACTCGAGTGGATGTTCCCACCCATCCACCCAGTGTCGCCCTTTATCTCTTGTCCTTCCAATGGCAATGGCGTTAACTCTCGGTCACCGCGCCGTGCGGAACAGCGGTCGGCGGAGCCCCCTGTTTCTCCGCACTCCGATATCAAACATCCAACGGACGGTCCGATCTATCTAAAATGGCCACCCCACTTCAGAAAAAACAAGAGCTCGTTTCTAGGAAGCGAGTTTTTGACGCAAGACAGTGCCGCTCATCGCAGTTTCCGTTATTTAGTCTCTGATCTTGCGAATTCATCGCTGGGACAAATTATGACACCGAGACCTCTCAGCGCTCGACGTCGTCACGCTGATTCCAGAGAAACGGTTGAACGTCTCAATCTTTCGCAAATCAAAGGCTTTCAATCGGAACGAAGTTCTCGCCCTGACAGCTATCGTTCACTCCTTGACAGCCGCTCATTCAAGCAGAATATAAGCTCATCTGAAGACAACCTCCTCGAAGACGAAAGCGTTAGTAACGGGAGTGACACGAATAAGACTGAGATACCAACTCCTTGGGACAGCGTTGAAGCGGTCACGGATGATGCTGCAGACGATGAAAGCTCAGGAACAGCAAGATGGAAAAGATACACAAATTTTTTCAATCGAAGACAAACACAGACTCCCCCACTTCTTCATCGGGTTTTCGACAATATAGTCAAATTTGGCGATGGATTTGATGATTTTTATAGAGCGAGATCCGGTAGAGAATCGGGAAAAACAATCGACTCCCTTTATAAATAGATTTTAGAAATACTTTGAGCAACTTGAAAGAAAGCAACCTTTTTAAGGAGTCAACAAGCTGTTTAAGGTGAGTGGAAGTCAGCAACCCCCCAAGGAGAGAAGGCTTAATCGAGAGTACTGCTTGATTTGAAGTTAAACATTTGTAATACATCATAAACGCGTAAGAGCAAACTCAGCGAATGTTTAAAGGAGCGGACGGAAAGGAAAACCAAGTTTGATATTCTCCGATAGTAATTTGGAACAAGTAAAGACACATCAACACGATAAATTCGAGGAGCCTGGAAGAGACCTTCGTCTTCGGGTCATGTGCGTTCCAAGGCGTCGCACCACTCCATGGAAAAAATGAGTGCCACTTGGCGAAGAAGAAGGTTTGGAATTTGATTCGCATGATGTTGCGAGACGATTCAAGAGAGGTTGAGAAGATCCACTGCTTCGTTGAGTTTCATCAGAGCCTTCATTTCGAATACTCCAAAATGTTTGGCGGTATCCAATTTCTGGTTGGGAGGGACAACGTTCTACTTCTACATCATTTTTCTTTTCAAAAAGCATTCTCCATCGGGATGCATCGCGTGACGTTAAACTCGAGCGAGTTGAATCCTTTCCCTCAGAAAATCCATCCGGATGAGTTGAAGGAGAAGAAAGTTTGACGTCCTCCAAATTTGTGGGTTGTTCTTCTAGTTTATCTACAGATGAGACATAGACGATTGTCTCTCTTTCTTATGACTTACTTGTCGTTGCCTCTTGAAGTTTTTGTGAATTACGATTTCGCTTAAAACGAGAATTATATCTTAAAAACAAACTCACTCGTCGTCGTTTATTGCTAGAAAATGAAGGCTGTTTGTCGCTCTTGGAGATTTTATCTTTGAATACTCCCCTTCTACTTCGAGCTCCACCAAATGATTGGCTGCTCACAGATGGAGGCGCTTGCAATCCAGATTCAACACGTTGAACTGATTCTAGCTTAGACTCTAAAAGAAATGAACATGAGTCGATCAGTCCATCTCCATCGATGCTCCCACCCTTGAAGCGTCGTTTCCTCTCCTGCAGGTATCCACGTTTTAACTTCAAACCCGGTCGACGAGGTCGTGGCATCTTGCGAGTTTCCTTCCGTCCTTCATTACTCAGACAATCCAGCGAGTCGCGATACTTGACGACAATCTGAAGATCTTTGCTGTTTGCTGCATCAGGGAGATTTTTCAATCTGGGAAGGTTTTCTTCCCTTCGTCCACAATCAAAGTCAATAATCTTCTGCTTTGAAAATCCCTCCAATTCATTCGACAACTGGAGCGAGTCCGTTGAAGGGTCAAGACGAGCCAATTGAATACTGCTACCACAGGAATATCGTCGATGTGGCGAGTGCAATGATTTCTTCAACGGAGCGAATCCAGGCGCATGAAAAGTGTGAAACCTGTCTTGTTGACGGGAAAAAAGCTCTCCACCAACTCTGGAAATGGCGCTCGAATTTGGGACTTCCCATGATGTGCTGGCTGGTCCAGACCGCGTCGTGTAGCCTAGGGTGTTATGAGATATTTTTTCGTCTGAAGTCTTGGGACAGGGAGTGATTGCGAGCATGAAGTTAAACGTCTCATATGACAATTGTTCTGAGATGCAATCAAAACATTTGCAATCTTCATCAGATTTGGTTGATCCAACAAGAGTATCGCTTGAATGACACATTTCACTTCTCATCGATAAACTATTCTGGAAAACAATGAAGAGGAGTAAAACACTGAAAGGCAGAGAGTCTTGACTAACACTGACGATTTTGGGACTCACACGAGAGAAAGGAAGCATTCCTTTGACGCGCGACGAGATCGCGTGAACTGTAAACCGGAACGCTAACATTGGACTGCCGGATTCGGTCATAGACACGCCGATCAAATCTCCAGATTGCAGGGGGTGTGTCCCAGTGGGAGGAAGAATTCTAAGAGACACAGTCGAAAACATCAATTGATGATACTAACTATCAAGTGAGAATTCCTACTTACTTTCCATTGAGATACGTTCCATTTGCAGATCCAAGATCAACAATAGAAAATCGTGCCTCCCCTAATTGAAGATCTTCGTAATGCCAACAAACGCAACAATGACGACGACTGAACCATTTTCGAGCTTGTGGAGGAATTCCATCAAGCCTGACACAAACAAATAAACAACAGAGAGGCTAATGATACTTACACCTGGTACGTGCGTCCCAAGAAGAATCGAGCAGGAATCGTAAAACCATTACGACCGTCTGTTTGTGCTCCAACTTTAATTGTATGTCGTTCAAATACGTCAAGGTACCCAGCGGAGCTCTTGCAATCTGAACGTGATTGTTGACTTGAAAAAAGTGTAGCCAATGAAAATCACCCCGATCAACAATAACCTAGACGGCAATCATTCTAAATATCTACTCATTAGAAGCAAACTGACCTTCCTGTGAAACTTGTCCGCTTGTCTCCGCTTCTATTGCCTTGTTGACATTTTCCATACAAACAACAACTTGCAACGTATAGCAACCTGGAATCAGAAACTTTACCATCGTTACAACACAGATTCAGATTCACCTGGTGGTTGCAGATAGTAGATTATTTCTGGATTTTCAGGGTCCACTTCCGAGCTAGACGGGATGTCCCAAACCCTTCGTATTCGATTCCGACAGACGTGATCTTCGATCCTAACTTGTCGGTTTCCGACATTCTTCCCCATACGCCGAGTCACCTGCCGTGATGGTGGTGTGTCCTCCGAATCCGCATTACAGCTGAGTCGTCTTGCCTCGTTCATGTGTGATGCACGTTGGCGTGGCTGTTCTGATTTCCTTATCATATGCCATTCTTAAACATGAACTGGACAAACAAGTAGTTGGCCTGCAGTAGCGTTGAAAAAGGACGTACTAGGAAAACATTAAAAATATTAACTATTTCCTTTTTTCTTCTGCTTCTGTTTGCTATGAGCAGCGTCTTTGATCGCTGCGTGCCCCGTATCCCTGATATGTTTGAAAAGCTGATTTCGGGACATAAATTCCTTATTGCAAGAAGTGCACCTTTCCGGCCTTTCTGAGGGACGTTCTCGTCCAGCTGCCTTAAGATTTTGTTTCTTTGCTTTAAGAGTTACTTTCTGAGGGGCTTCAGCCGAAATCTTTTGTGCCTTCTGTTCTGCAACTTCCTCCTGTTCTGCAATTTCCTCCTGTTTTGCTTCTGCCGGTTGAGCTTCCTGCTCTTTGGTTTCTGCTGCTGCGTGACTTTCTTCTTCTTCTTTTGTTTCTGCTGCTTCAGTTTCTTCCTGGCTTGAGTCTGTTGACTCAGCTTCACTTTCACTCTCATAGTTTTTCCTCATCCGCATTCGTAGCAATCGATCCAAAGCTTCACTGTCGCTCGACGAGATGTCAGACTTCTCGCAATCACTCTTTCCAGATGAATTTCTTCTGCTGTTACTGTTTTCAGATTGAGATTCCAATTCCAATTTATCAGGTTGTGAGTCAGAGAAATCACCTTCTCGTTCTCCATCGCTGTTTTGAGGAGAAGCACTAGAAACAGCATCGTCTTCCAATTCCTCAAGAAACTTGTTCAGCGCAATAATATGCTTTTTAGATTTTTCATGAGATTTGAATTGTGCTTCAGACCGAAATGCTTTTTTGCACGCCTCGCAAGCATACATAATATTGTCTGTTTTCTTCTTATTCTTCTTCTTCCCTTTTCCTTCCTCCACATCTGATTCACTCTGCCAAGCTTCGTCTAGAAATACTTGCCCCGTTGAAGCCGCTTTTTCCTTCTCAAGTTCTTCCCATCGCCTCATCTCTTCCTCAACAGCGGCTTCCCGCATGCATCTTCGCTCCTCTTCCTCTTCTATTTTCTTTCTAGCTTTTTCTTCTGCTACACGTCTTGCCTCATTCGCTTTTTCTATACGAACGGCAGCAAGACGAGGATCGCGCTTCTAAAATCAAATATTCAAAACCGTCAATAGATGACAAACGCATACCTTAACGAATTCAAGCAACGCTCGAACACTATCATTAAACTCCTTTCGTGCATCCTTTCGCTTTTTCTTGTTCTCAGCTTCCATTTGTCTTCGGACAAATCGATTTGGTGCTTCTGCTAAATTCCATTCTTCCGCAAACCCGAAATGCCTTTGACTCGAAAAAACGCATCCAAAACCGATAGAACGAATTCACATCGGAAACCGGACTAGTTGACGTTCCGAACGTCGGGGCCGTCTTAAATTCTTCGCAGCTGGATCCTTTAGGATTCTCCGTCCGCTTCACTTCTTCATCAGCGATGATGTCAAAGACTTCTCGATAAACAGTGAAGAAACATTTCGACTTTCTCTCATTCTCAACAGATTCTGAGAATCCGTCAAAACAATCTTTTCTGAACCATCGAAAAATGTTGATTCTTTCAGCGGAAGGATCGTCGCCGCTCGTCCCAGCATCATCACCGCGAAGGATTTGAACGCGATGTCCATCATACCACGCTCGTTCCTAGAGATTTGAAATGGGCCATTGAATGATAACAACAGTCTTACATTTGGATCTGATAGTGTTTCGTAAGCTTCTTGAACAGCTAGAAATTGGACACGTGCTTCTTCATCTCCTGGATTCTTATCAGGATGGAATTTAAGAGCCAGTCGTCTGTAAGATTTCCTGATATCATCTTCTGGTGCGTGTTGATCTACCCCTAATACTTCGTAGAGGCATCTCTTCATGACCAGGTTCGTTGCCAGATCCAGTCCAGATTCTCAGGTCAATTCGTTTCAAAACGCATCAAAGTAGAATTCTCACTCTTTCACTATGAGGGACTTGATGTATAAGAACTCGTCTATCTGCTCCTGTTGATGCATAAATCCAGGAATCCTGTTTACTCCATACCATCGATGTGACTGTATCCTGTAACAACATCCATAACCATCATAGGGAATTGAATCCCTCACATCATGCGCATCACTTTGTTGAATCAGGAAAGGATCGTCTGATGCCGCTTCTAATTTTTGCTCTTTCTTTTGTTGATCTTCAGTCTCCGCCGTGTCCTTCGTTCTCCACAACTTGACAGATCCTTCAGTGCCTAGAAATGAATGAATAGTCTGAAATAGTGCCGATTAAACTCACTTCCAGTTGCAATCAATTGATCGTGGAAATAATTGTATTTCGCTGAAGTGATCCAATGGGAATGCAAACAAGATGTTTTCTAGAAAAAGAAGAATATTTCGAACAATTAAAAATGTTCATACCTGAATTGGGGAGTTTAATCGTCGCGAATCCCAAAACGAAAGACTTCCATCATCTCCTGAATAACTACATGAATAACGATTACGAAGGATTCTCACCTCCAGTGAGAAGTTCGTAAGGCCGATTTGGGTTGTAGTCAATATCCCGTTGTCTAAACGAAAGACAGGGATGTTCCGCGACTGAATGTTGACATACGAATTGTAAATATCCCAAGTTGTCCTATTTGTTTGATTGCACGTCGACCCGGATTCCGCATCCACGCGAATGTCCCAAATCTCCAGTCCATTACTTCCCACGGTTGCAAACTGGACAATCAGTAGAAGATAAACTGTGTCGTTGAATCTCTTACCTGATTCGAAGTGTGAGGATCCCAGCACCCACTGAAACAGCAACCGATGGTGTTTCCAACAAACATCTAATGAGTGGAATTCATCGGCGGTGAAGCATCATCCGTCAGTCACCTCTAGCATGTTCGTCGATACAGTTTCGCAGAGAGAAGCTCCTTCCTCGTCTATGATAAGTACTCGATTAGAGGGGAGAGACCCCTCAGTGGTATCTGCAACAAGAACTCTGGACGCAATTTTGAATGTGCCACAGAGACTGTCTCAGTTTACCGTTTCACTCCTTTGAACGATCTCTCCTTTCCATCTTTGTTTTGAACTTGTCCGATTACATCAACAGAATCTAGGATGCTGCTTGATGGTAGACGCCCCATTCGAGACTGTCTTAGAGGAAGAGTAAGAGGATCCACCGAGGCCGGTAGAGGAACGGACAAAAGTTTGACCACGTCTTCGAACCGAAAAAAAATGCATTTCTTGCAGAATTGAGCAGGTGCCGCCGAATCGGTGGCTCACCTTTATTACCGCTTCGAAAACCTCCAGCTATAATTGCAGCAGCTTTATCTGTTACATCAGAAACTGCGGAATGCTTCATAACGGAAAGTCCACCACCACTAACGACAGAGAAGCCAGCCAAACCAGGGAGAGGCAAGGCTTGAAAAGTGACATCGAGAGCATCATCAAGATAATCAATTAAAAACAACTGCAGAAAAAGAATCACTGATGATTAATACTGCTGCGCGTACTTGAGAGGTGCTTGCTTGTTTTCCTAGTGGAGATGCGCGTGTTCCCACAAGAAAACGATGGCTATCTGGATTGCTGACTTCAGGAAGGGCTACAATGGAGGAGACCTGGAGAGAAAGGATAAGAAACGTGTTGAAATCACAATCTGCAAACCTGATGGGGCAATTCTGAAGAGAAAACGAAGTGGTTGAGAAATGGAGTTGTAGGGCTTACGTGTTCCGGCACTGTTATGACCGACGTTGTTGAGTGCCATCCGCTCCAATAGGAACGAGCCTGGTCTCAGTGGAATGCAAGTAGAATGGTGTTGAAGAAGAAAGTACCAAAAAGTGAGAAGGAAAAATCAACAAGTCATTCACTAAAAAGAATCCTTTATTCCTTAAGTGCCTTCTCAACAAAAGCAGGCTGTTCGAGATGTACTTTCCCTAAACGCTCTGCGGCGCTCGACACGTCGGTATTCTCGTTAACTTCGGGTTTCTCACTAGTCGATGGCTTTTCCTCCTTTTCTTCTTCTGATTCAGTTTCATATGTGTATTCTGAATCACTCCGATCCCGTAAAGCTGATGCATCAACACGTGCCGCCTAGAGAGTGATAGATATTTGAAATCACGAGACAAATTAGAGTTACTTGGGGCTTATTCTCAAACACGGTTTTCCGTGCAGACAAAGGGGCAGCTTGATCCCAGCGAATCGTTGCTTGAGAAGGCGCTGGTTTGTTAGCAAACTCACTTCTCTTGTCTTGACCTGAGAATCGAAAATTTGACGGAACACTTCAAAATGTGAAACCCACTGCTATTCGCTTTGTTCCATCCTGCGTGCGCACTTGAAGGAACAGCGCTGCTCTCATAAACCGACTTTTCGCTCGTTTCTATCAGAGATCCAATACTCGATTTCTACTCTTTTATGTCTTACTTGGAGCACCGGGGATGTGCGTGCCCACAGCAGCGATGGATGGTGTTGGAGTGTTTTCGAATACAGTCTTCGCCTGGACTGGTTTTTCAAGAGGTCTCATGAAACCGGCGTCTGCCCGAGAAGGAGCAACAGAGCTCTCGTAGACCGTCTTCTCTTGATTAGCAGGAACGGGAGACTTCGTGAAGCCTGCATCCGCGTTAGAAGGCTTCACTTCATTTTCGTAGACTGCTTTACTGGTTGTTGGTGCAGATTGAGGCATCAAGGTACCAGTGTGCGCATTTGAGGGGACAGGGGCCTTTTCGAATACAGTTTGGCCCTGTGGACGAGACGGTGCTGGGGCACGCGCTGAAGCATGGGCAGCTACGCTGACTGGAGACGACTCGAAGACAGTCTTGGCCTGAACAGATGGGGCAGCCGGGAGGAATGTGCCAGTGTGCGCTGCTGAGGGCTTTGGGACGCTTTCAAAGACAGTTTGCGTTATTTTTTTTTCTTTTTTCTTTAGAACGCGTCGCTTTCCATCGTTCCCAACAAGAACCCCTGGGCTGTTTGCATTAGGGCTCGCCTTGAGGTCTTCGGATAGACTTGAAGCAACCTCCTCCGGTGTTAATGTCCTGCCGACATCAAGAGCTGCAGCAACAGCTTTTTCGGCGGCCAAGGTTGCATCTTCAACTCCAGTGAAGTTCACAGTTGCATTCACTGCTGAATCCCCAAGTTCTGGAGTGTTTTCTACAACTGCAGTAGACTCCACTCCAACTTCTGAAGTAATTTCTTTTGCAGCAGCTGGAGCCGCTTCTGCTGGAGCCGTTTCTGGTGCGGTAGCTTCTGCTGGAGCCGCTTCTGGCGGGGTAGCTTCTGCTGGAGCGGTTTCTGGTGCGGTAGCTTCTGCTGGAGCCGCTTCTGGTGCGGTAGCTTCTGCTGGAGTAGCTTCTGCTGGAGTAGCTTCTGCTGGAGTAGCTTCTGCTTCAAGTGTTGGAGTGTTTTTTGGTTCAGTTGGTGAGCTTTCTGGCTCAACGGCTCGAGCGGCTGTTGATTCGGCGTCGGGTGCGTCCGCTATTTCGGTTGGCTTTTTATCCTTTAGCTCAGCTTGTTCGCCTGCTTCATTGGACGAAGGCTTTGCTCCGATTTCTTGTTCTTTGTGAGACGCATTTTGTGGAGACTCGTGGTCTAAATCGTCAGACATGACGGCAGAGGGCGCTGGAGAGTCCGTGTTCGGGGAAGCATCCTCTGCAAGAGTCGTTGACGGGGTCGATGGGGGTTCGATGTCAAGGGATTTTGAAGGAAGTGGATCGGCAACAGAGGGAACGGTTGGAACGACACTCTCAGACATTGTCAATAAGGAAAAACGAAAGGGGAAATTTTCAACCTTAAAACGCTATTCTGTGTCTGTGGGGAACTGCTTTTCATGCTGGCACATAGACAGAAGAACGTCAGTCCTGGTTCCTGTTCTTGTTTCATGATCCCTCGTTCCCCGGCATATACGAATGGAAATTACAAGGTGGGGAGGGGATGCGATTCGGAAATCGGCAGCAATAAAGTTGCAGATCGGTAATTCAACAAATCTTCAACGAAGAAGGAGAAAGGCGTCACTCATTGTTTTGATGGTGTTTATGTGGACCACCAACATCCTGTAGAAAAATCAGTTGGCTGTGTCTTGCAAGAAAAGCACCGAGTTCCTCAGATTCAAAAAAAGACAGAGATCAAAAGTCTGCGAACAATTCTTGCTCAGCAGAACTAACAGAAGGAGCAGAACCTGACAGACAAACGCATGAGAATACTAGTTGAGGTTTCTCACCTTCGCTGCTTTCGGGATATTTGTCGAACATCGATGTATCATCGCATGCTGTGGAGGGAACGAAAGGCGGCGTTAGCTGTTGCTTGATACACTTGGTCCAATCTAGAGACTTGAACCATTTATGCCGCTTTATGTCTTCAGCTCCTCCCTTCAAACAACCGAAACGTTTAGCACGATCGTGTGACAAAAGACGTTTGATAAGATCCTGCAAAGAAAACCCTTTTTGGATGAACACAATCTGAGCTTCTTGCCTTTGCCCGAATATCAATGTAGCGGGGAAAGTTGATCTTTCCAGCAAGGACCTTCTCGTATATACCGAATGGATTTTCGTCAAAAAAAGGAGGATACCTGATCAACTTTCAAATATCAGAGATTCAATATTCGGTCACCCACCCAGCAAGCATCTCGTAAATCAGAATACCAAGAGCCCACCAATCCACAGATTTTCCGTGTCCCTTGCTTTGAATTACTTCAGGAGCGAGGTATTCTGGGGTTCCACAAACGGTCCATGTTCGATCCTTCACGACCTTCGCAAAACCGAAATCTGTGATCTTGACATGCCCTCCCCCGTCGATGAGCAAGTTTTCTGGTTTTAGATCACGGTAAGCGATGTCTGCAAGGTCCGATAAAGAATTGAGCAATTTCGGAGAGACTTGCCTAGAGAATGAAGGTATTGCAAAGCAACTGTAATTTCAGACGCATAGAATCGACCACCAGCGTTGTCTAAACGGCCTTCTTTCTTCAAGTAGCTAAACAACTCTCCCCCATGAACAAATTCCATCACCATGAAAAGTCGTCTACTATCTTGAAATGTTGCATAGAGATTGACAATGAATGGATGATGGATCCGTTTGAGAATATCCTAACACAATCATCACTCATAAACGATCAATGGGAACAATATCTTTTTGGTTACTGAGGAATATTATGAATCTATGGATGATTTTATGAGACTCACCTTTTCTGACTTAACATGCTCAACTTGCTTTAATCGGATAACTTCGCTCTTCTTCAAGATTTTTAAAGCAAGGGGACTACGATCCTCACAATGCTTGAGCTTGCACATGCGCACTCGTCCAAATGTTCCTGCGCCTGAGAAAAAAACGAAAATCAATTGACGTCCGAGAGTCAAGAGAATGTCGCTTGTCTGACCAACTGTAGCGTTTAATTCGAAATCCGAAAGCCTTAGCTTCGGCTTTGAATCAAAAATTAGTTTAATCACGGGGACGTTTTCTGCTTCAGCCTCCTCTTTTAAGAAATTCGTAATCGTTGATCTCCTACCACCTACGGATTTTAAACAGCGGTCATTTTTGCGATCAGCTTTCGACAATCAATACTCACTCGCTCTTGATGTTGGAGGAAGCAGAAAGTCATTGAATGAATCAACGGATCTGAGAGATCAATATGAAGGAATTCTCTGGTTAAAGTCTCACTCTCTGCCAGCACGAAACGATGGCAATGGGCCTTCAGTATCAATGCTGAATGTCGATGAATTTCGCGCGACACTGAAGAAGGGAAGAGAGATGTGACGAGGAAAGACGACGCTCTGAGATGCAACTTGCTGTGTGTAATGCGTTTACTCCGTTTTTCGCGACCACGTGCTCCCTGTTACAGTCGTTGTGCTTCCTCTCTTTGCGAAGGAAACAGCCGATGAAACTGGAGGTTTCGCGTCGAGGAAGCGCTTCACATCCGATTTGGGATGAGAAGTTCGCCGAACCGCTTCAACAGCTTCGGATAGGGACGTTGCCGGTTTTTCTTGAGTTCGCTGCTGGTGGTGTTTTTGATGACTTCGTGAAGGTTTGGAGATGTCAGGAACTTTTACTGGACTCATCGATTCGAAGAGGTCGTTCGAATCTCTGCACGAATCATCTCGAGTTGTCAAATCACATCGCGGCGTTTCCGAACGATCTTTCGGATTTTTTGAACAATTTGGTGTTCGAAATGTCGGATAATGCCGCAAGTTCGATTCAGAATCCACTTTGCGTCCGTGACTGTAAGCGTTCTCGGGAAAATCGGGAACTTTGCTGAGGAGCAGATAAGAATCTTCTACGGAATGCAGGTCGGCCGTTGGAACCTATCAAATAGTCATAGCCACCATGACTGCCAAAGTGTGTCGTACCCGGGAAACCGCAAGAGGGCCGAGTTTTGATCGCCCCTCTGTTGTTGTTGCTGCACGACCGGAGTGTCGCGCACGACTGCCAGCTGAATCCTTCTGGGACGCGGAATTGACGTGAGAGTGATCCATCTCATCTTTTCGTCTCGCGTGCTCCGAGCCGCGCGACACACCGCTGCGTTGAAAAAAGAACGATGAGTCGCGCGCTTCATCGAGCGTTCCGTGCAACTCCGAACTTTCAAGGGGCTCGCGCCGCATGTCGTTCAATGATTGTGCGTCCAGTCGCTGTCCTTGCATTTCTCTGTGAAGCTTTGAGAGCGCATGCTGGCTTAACGGCTCTTCCTAAAATGTGGACTGTTCAACCCTTGCGACCCCGTCGTTCCCAAAATGTCGAACATTCAGTCATTCAGTCTTTACAACGTTAGTCCCTCACTCTGTCACTCGTACCATTCATTCTCTATCTTTTACCTGAAAGTCTCGACTTTGCGGTCGGCCATTTGAAGAAGTTTCATCGCGTCCTCTCCAACGTTTGGTGGAAGAAGCTCTTGAGTCGTCCGGCTGACGACGAGGCTTTCCTCGCGCCTCACGAGGAGCGCCTGTCAATAAAATGGGATCTTTCTCCTTAAACGAGACTCGCCCTGCGTCGATGTCTTCCGTTACATCGTGTTTGTCCTCAAACCGAAAACTTCCACGAGAAGACGCCCTGGACTCCGAACGACAAAAATCGCGACCACTGAACTCGACAGATCGTTCCAATCGTGGCTTAATGTCAGGAGGTCGACTGGAAGCGTGGGACTTGGTGAAACGCGCGCGGCTGTTCTGTGAGCGCATGGATCCCAAACGATCGACTTTGTCGCCGTTGTCCGATTCGTTGTACACGTCCCTGGATTGGTCGCTGTTTGTTGTGCCGAACGGACGTAAAGAGGCCCATAAATCTGTAAAGGTTGCCGCACCGCTCGATTTCAGGCTGCTCAACATTGGGGAGGCACTGCCAGTTGAATCCTCGCGTGGAAGTCCTTCGTAAGAGAGACACGATTCTGATGTCCGGATTGTCGAGAATGTCGATCGACGGGCGTCCTCCCCAGTTGTAAAGTGAGAATGGTAACTCGAGTTGTCAGCTGTCGTGGAACCTGTCGCGGAACGGCAAAGCGATGGACAACCTCGCAAAGACGAAAGAGAGAACGATGCTTTTGGCTCTTGGAAATCGAAAAAAACGCGGCGCTTAGACCTTTTGCAGAAGAGGGTTGTATAGAGGATAGGCAAAAAAAAGTAGAACGCTGCGAGAACAAGTAAAGTAATCACAAAAGAAGAAATATTCGTCAACGTGAAGGAAGTAAATCTAGAGAACTTCGAAAAGAGAAGGAGCGGAATTTTGATGAAGGGGCGAAACAGAAAAGCAGGAGATTAGCGGTGTGGAACCCAACTCGCTTAGAAGACTCTTTCGGATGACCGTAGCAGTAGAAGTGAGTGAAAAGTGTGATAGAAAAATGAATAAAAAAAATCGAGATCGAGGCGAGATCGTTTGCTAGTCTGCCCATACCCGTTGGTTGATGGAGTTCATGGCAGCAGATAAGAAAGGATGACCTCTGCCGGTAATGATCCAAAGACAAGCTGGAATGAACGACGAAAAACGACAAATGAAGCTGTCGATCCTTTGCTATTCATGCGATGATCCTCAATTAGGAATTTGTGTTTATTTTGATACCTTAGTTGTCTCGATTGTATGGTTTAAAATAAAGTAGCGAGGTGGATTCTGAATTGTTCGAAGTGTTTGACAGCTTCTTAAATTGAGTCGCGCTGCTTATGAGTTTCAAATACAAAAAAGGCAGTTTTAGCAAACGCATGCATGTAATGAGCGTACATGAGGAAACTAAACGAATGCCGGCGATCTAAAGAGAAAAACCTTTTTTAAGAAGCCGGTGTAGAGTTTTTGCATAGAGGCCTTCAAGAGGGCTCAATCGTTAAGCCAGTCCCAAATCACCAGTAAGGAACAGGAACGGTGATGGATCGTTAACATTGGAGCATGACTTCTTATACTGACATCTATAGTCATCATTCCAACCAATGAAGAGGGAGACGCACAGTATTCATGTTCCAAGCTCTTTGGAAGCGCTCGTTGGTACCCAATCGCTCTCTCAACACCGTCTTGAGGTTCAAAGCGAACGGATACTCGAGTTGTTGATCTCATGTGAAAATATTGGCGATATGGACCAGATAGTAACAGCGCTGAACAGAGTGAGAGCTATCTAATATGAAGCGGTCCACTCGTGCCATTGCAGGAACTCTATCACCAAAGCGATTATCAATCATATGAGGACTCACTGCAGCGAGAATTCGGAACTGGAGGCGCGTGTCAAGCACAATGGGAATCCCATTCAATTGCATTTAAATGTAAGGATCGGCGATGCTCGTCGAGTGGCAGCAAAGATAATTCTGCAACGAATCAACGACTTTTCATTTGAACGTTTGATCATGTTCAGGCTCCGACTGCGAAAAGGATCAGAGCTGTGCGATTTGTGCGGACTGCTTTTTCAAGTCAAATCATGAGGGGCACGTTTTTCGCATGGTGAGTCCCCGAGTTGTGTTTCATTCCAATCTTCATCCTCCAGATTCGAACTGTCGGTGGATGTTGCGATTGCGGGGATCCAAGTGTAGGTTTTTCGATGAATTGTCCATGTCTAGCCTTCTATTTCTTCTTCTTTACATCAGTCATGGGATCCTAAGGGATACTGTTCTGACCACGAGGGAGTCTCCGAAGCGATGGATGGCTCTTCATCATTCTTGGACTTACCATGTGAATTGCGTGAAGACGCAGCTCGCTTGATTATAACAGTCATCTATTCACTAGAGAAAGAAACAAATGCATGTTGCGCATCGCCTCCAGATGCCAACGAGACTCCATTTCAGGAGAGAGCCAAGTATGTTTTGACTCTCTCTCCCTTCTACTATTCTTTCATGACGTTATCTTTTTCCAGGCTTCGTGTTGACCGTCTTTTGAAGTGGTCTCAACATATTGCGTCGATTACTTTCGGATTCCGCTATCTCATGAATCAATGCCTTTCTGACGAGTTCATCAAAATTGTCATCCGTACCCACTTCGATTTTTCTACATCTGCTCAAAGAGCTTTCCATAATTTTTTCCTCAGTCTATTAGTCAGCCCGAGTTTCAAAAGGTTTGCCCTTCTGCATTGAAATTCTTCTTACTTCGCTTCTTCAGGCGTTTCGCTGAACTTCTCGTACACGATTACATTCATGCTCTCTCTGGTTGTTTTGATATGATGGCAAACAACAACAGTCGTAACTCCCAAGCTGATTCGCTAGCGTTGTATTCTCTGACTGTTCAGGTAAGAAGAGAGTCTATCGATTCCCATCTGGATTGCTGTTCTCTTCAGCTCTTCACAGTACCGGAACTGGCAATGGCGTGTTTTCTTGAGTGGGGGCTGCTATCAACAATCTGTCAAGCTTTGAAATCTCGACTCCCCGTGTCCCCAGAAACATCTACTGTAACATTTCAAGGTTATGAAGCGCGAAAGCAGTTTGATGTTTCGCGAATGCTTATCGATTTGAGGTGATAATCCCATAAGGCAGGAGGTTGGCGTTTTTAATGTCTTCTTCAGATACCTTCTCCATCACACGCAAGTCATCGAATATTTCATCAAACAACAAACACCTAATGTCATTGAGTCCTCGACTTCTGCAGCTTCACGAGCCTCTTTTGATTCGTTGCTCGACTTGTTAGCAGCGCTCCATTTCATGAATCTACAGAAGGTATTCAGCCTGTTCTCTGCAGTTTCAATGTTCTTTTCATCCCTTCAGCGCTACACAGATGTCCACATTCCATATGAAGAGTCAACATATGAAGAAGCCTTTCGTGTTGAATTCGACATCAGCAAGGCGTTGTCTGTTATGGTGAGTGAATCTAGCGCCACGCTGCTCCTTGTTGCGCTGGTTAGCCATTCGAGCTTTGTTTCTCAGGTGCAATATTGCAAGCAACCCTTACCTCTCGACGTTGTTACTGAGTTCTATTCTGCAGTTGCTGAAGCAGTAAAGGGACTAAGAGTTCGACCTCTGGCGTGGAATCTCCATCTGAGCTTCCATATTCCTCTCCCTCGCTTCTTCTGCTCAATTGTTGACAAACATCTCATTTTTCGGCTTATGGAATCAAAGACTCCCATTTCTCCTGATGAGCAAAAACTTCTGGATATTTTCGATTATCCATTGGCAATGGTGGGATGAAATGTGTAGCTCAAATGCGTCATGTGAACTCAGAAGCAATGCACCACTTTTCCTAAGTCGTGGCATCCTATTTCTTTTTAGAAATTACTGGAGTCTGGACTCAGTTGTCTGCTTTTCGCCGCTCAAATTGATCACGGCTACTGGGTCCGCAATGGCCGAGTAATGAAGAGCCAGCGTAATCATTACGTTTCGAGCCATTTGGCTCCGATGGACCTCGAAATGGTTCAGTTTGCGGTGAAGGTTTTGAGCTACTTGGGGAAGCGGGAGCAAAGTGTTCGACCAAGAATCAGCCAAGTCAACGAAGAAGAGGTTTCCCTTCCATTGTCTGTGGGTGAAGATTCTGAGAACGAGGAGCTGAAGGCCAAGTGGATGTTTGATCCGTTTTGTCAGATCTTCGCTGCAGTCTTTCGGTAGGGCACAAAGTATTTTCACATGATTGAATTATTTCTCCAGACAAACAATAGATCCATCGATGGAATCTCGAGTCCCCCGAAACGTTGCAGATATATGGAAAATTGTTCAACATATTTTATACTCAGAGGGAAAACCAAAACGAGATGGTGGAACAAGACAGATTCATGATCGATTCCGGTGAGTTGAACAAATACTAGATGATCGAAGAATTATTGCGTCTTAATCTATGGCATTTCTTTGTTTAGGGTTAATTTTATTTTTGAACTTCTTGGACGGGTCGTGAACCAGCTGTTCTACATGGAATCTGTTAGCCTTCCTCGGAGGATTCTTCCCTCGTCTTACGCTGCTAGAGGTGCTTGTGTTATTCGACGCGAGATTGTTCAGAGGCTTGCAGTGCAAAGCATGACTTTCTCGCATCTCGAGCAAGTTATGAAGTGAGTCAATCTTTTTGATGCAATTCTCTTTGAGCGTCTCCTATTTCATCGTTCCTTCAAACAGACCGTGGCGACGTCACCCTTCCTTCGAAGAACTTGTCGAGAATGTTGCTGATAAACGAACGGTTGGGACGACAGCATCCCAAACGTCCACACTGCTGAGATTGAGGCCAGACATGTGGAAGCTTGTGGACGTCTTCTGGCCCGTGATGA